GGGTCTGGGGTTTGTTTAGGGTTTAGGGTATATGTTGTTTAGGGTTTCAGGGATTTAAGGTTTAGGGCTTGGGGATTCAAAAGTGTAGAATGGCGTTTGGGGTATGTTACGTTACGCTTATATGAGCTTTGGGAAAACTGCGCTTCGTGTATATTATAGGGGATTGTCGGAGCCTGGGTTACTAAAATTGCGGCTTGGAGGTATATCACGCTGCAATACTACAAGGTTCGTGGAGTTCGTAGTAGGTGGTCGAAAGCCTTGAGGAAGGCTTTAGGGTGTAGAGTCAAGGATTTCGGTTTTGGTCTTGAGGTTCTATTGGGTTTCAAAAGGTTTGTGGTCTAGGCATGTCTAGGCTTTGGTTCTCAGGGTTTGCAAGATGTAGGGTTTCGGCTCTGGGATTCAGATTTTAGTTTTTAGCATATAGGGCTTAAAGGCTAAGGTCGTAGAGTTTAGCGAGGGATGTTTTCAAAATGTAGTCTGATCTAGCTTATTCGCTAAACCATCCAGTAAACAGTTCAAGATGTAATCTCGAAAGGGCTTCCTGACGGATTCAAATAGTTTGCGGGGGGCTCTATATCGCAGGTGAAGACGATTCGAGCCTGCAAAAAGGCTTGTGCAAGGGGGCGTAGCAGATAGCTCATAGAAGTCAACTCCAAGACCTAAACCCTCAAGCCTAAACCCTAAAACCTAAGTCCTATAAGCCCTAAGCCCTAAATCCTGAATCCTGAACGCTAAACCCTAAACCCTGAACACTAAACGGTAAATCCTAAACCCCTTTCACAAGCAACCCTGAAGTCCGAGAATCCTTCTTGCCTTGCAAACGCATAGTGCTAAAGCCCGAGGAGCCCCTCATGACATGCCCCGAAGTCGTAGCCAGTTGCTATCCTGATAGTAGGGTTTAGGGGTTTAGGGTGTAAGGGTTTAAGGTTTAGGGCTTAGGGCTTGGTATCCTCTAGTCTCTTTTAATCTTCATCTTATGCAGCAGAAGTGTTTCGTGATATGCCTATCTAGTGGCCCAGACAGGAATCCTCCAGAAGCCCCAGCAGCAGCCGAAGAGGCTCCCGGAGCCAAGGGAGTGGGTGTATGGTTCTTAAGGTTTAGGGTTTAAGTTAAGGGGTTTTTAACCCATTCCGTAATATCTCTTGATACTTGATATTCAATCCCCCACCCCTCCCTACTACTCAATTTTCCTATTCTGTTATGCTCGACCACACTGGGAGTATTTGATATATGGTGGAGTGGACTTTTTAATATTCGCGGGGAATAGGATTACAGGTGTAAAGGGTGTAGAGGGTATAGGGTTTAGGGTGTGAAGGGTTAAGGGTGCATAGAGGTTATTGTGTAAACGGTTATGGATGCATACAGTAGGGTTTAAAAGGGTATGCAGGCTTTAGGGCGTGGTTTTTAGAGAAGGGCACGGATTGCAGAAGTCTATAAGACAGTTTTGGTAAACCTCCACGATAGAGACTCAAATGAGCAATCCAATTAAGAATGACATGGAGACGAGGGTGCTATAGGGTTTCGGCATACGTTGCTTGGGGCCTTGGGCCTTCCCAGCCCCTAGAAATTCCCTTTCACGGAGGTGTCTTGAAAATAATGAACTTTGGGCTTTGCTGTAACCCAGCCTAGACAATTCAAAGCGTTTTTTGGTATGGTTTCTGAGCAGCCACGTAGAGGTTCAGGGCTAAAGTTTGGGATTGCGGTGGGGGTCATCAACGAGACCTTGGAGGAGGAAGGGATCCTGCGTTGTTGGCGACGCGAGAACATACCGCAGAAGCCTGAAGAATTAGGAAAATATGGCTGAAATCCTGAACCTTGCACCATGTGGATTTTCAGGCTAATAGCCATTAAGCTGATTCCTAGGCCATCCATCTATCAAATTATCAGGGGTTTCAGGGTTGAAATCCACAAGTTTGGATTGATTTTCTAAATAGTTTTCTCAGAAATGCCTCCCCCATATGGAACCCAAGGTAGCCCCCTAAACCCTAAAGCCTAGCCCTTTCATGGAGGGCTTAGGGTAAGGGATCCTTAGACCCGGAGCACCGCCTCAGGGCTTAGGGTTTAGGCTTTAGGGGCACAACCCTGAAACCGTTGAATCTAAGTGAGGCCATCTTTACAAGTGCGCTTTTTATCTGATGTGTTAAGAGACAAGTAGAAGAACCTTAGAGGTGGCTAACATGCTAGTAGTTCTGATTATAAGCCCCTATAGCGCCCCAGATATGTATAAACCCCCCCCAAACCCTAAACCCTAACCATAACCCTGTACAACCACCTTTACAAAACTGGGCTGCCTAGGATCATATCCGCTTGACACACTAAACCGCAGAATTGCGTCCCTTGAGAATCCCGAACGGTCCCAACGCATCTAGAGCTCTGCTACCTAGAAAGACATCGAGCTCCAAGTTTTTACGTGCGATCGCACGCTGTCGACTAGGCACCAGGGAAGCATTTTAGAGGATCTTGCTTAGCGACAGCCTGTCTCATTATGTGGAAGTTCATGCAATGGGCAAGATTTAAAAGATCAAAAGTACAATCGCCCGAATGAATTATTCTACGGCTCCCAAGAAGCTACGCGCCCAAACTCCAGCATACGGCCTGCGGAATGCGCTGCCAAGTTGAGTGCATGACTTTCCATGTTACGGAAATCTGGAAGATCTCGCGTTTGAGTACCCTAAAGCAGTTAGGGATGGGGAGAGACTCCCAAAGGTAACTAAGCCTTTATCTAACCGTCCAGTATACAATTATCATATACTTGAGCACCTTACGCTTGTAGCGTTTCCTTCGGTTTTTGATGGCACATGACTGTGACTTACATACTTTGGACCGTAGCTTAATTTTTCAACTCCCAACTCGGCATCCCATGCCATGAGCAGAAGCTTTTCCTCCAGTAGAACTCACCGGGCCCTGAGTACCCATAAAGGGAAAACACATCCAAGGCCTAAGGGATACTTGTACTATGTAGGTACTTGGGACACTTTATGTCAGGGGAAGAAACACGAAGACCTTCGACAGGCCACAGCAGAATTTTTCGAGCGCAGTTTCCATTCTCGACGGGAGACGGTCCCTTGCTGCGCACTAGCTCCATCGCTAGGACCATCTGACAAACCCTCAAACTCTGAGACCGCCACAGTATGTAGAAGAATTCAGAATACTCCATATAGCCCTATATAACCCTATATCATCCTTGTATTATCCAGCAGCAGGCAGACGGCCGCGCACATCGCCCTGATGCCAGTGCCAAGGAGGCAAGCCGCAAGGCCACAGGGGCAAGGAGGTTATTGGGGTCATGTTGGGGTTATCTAGAGTTATATAGATAGGGATAATGGAAAAGAACGTGGAAGCTACAATCTAGGGTTTAGGGTTGCAGTTTTGTGATTTTGGATTTGGGGTTTGGGGTCTCTAGGCTTGATGGTTTACCCCAAGCTTTATAAACCTTAAACCCAAAACCCTAAACCGTCTTGGGTATGTGGCAGGGTTGCTCAGGGATCCCTGTTAGAAGGATGAGCGGGGCCCAGTTTCAGGAATTCCCAGTAAACCTTAAACCGCGTACCCTAAACTCTAAGCCTTCTCAACCAACCTTCACGTGGGTAGTCATCAGGTGGGTACCCTAACCTCTAAAGCTTAAAACTTATAAACCCTAAATCCTAAACCCTAAACCCTCCCTGTCAGGAAGCCAAGGCCAAGATCCCGGAGAAGCGTCCGGAAGAGCCTCCGCCGAAGGAGTGCGGCGATGATGGCAAAACTCGAGTTGGCTTGGGGTTCAGGTTTTCAGGTTTCAGATTCTTAGGGTGTTGGACTTACAGGGTTTGGGGTTTTAAGGGTTTATAGGGATTAGGGTGTATAGGGTTCGTGGGTTTTAAGGATTGCGCAATTGAAAACGGTTTATGGGCTTTGTAGTTGGTCAGGTTTCCAGGGCTTCGGCTTTAGGATTTATAGGGCGAATATGATCTATAGGATGCGGGTTTGTGTTTGTAGGGTTTATAGGTTTTGCAGGGCTTGTAGATTTTGTGGGGCTTTATAGTTTATCGGAAATATAGGGCGTAGCGTAGAGGGCTAAGAGGTTTTGCAGAGATGCCGGAGGAAATCTTGCACCACCCGAAGTCCTCAAAGCATCAGGAATGGCAATAGTTTGGCTAGCCGAGGTGGTGCAAGATTTCCTTCGTCGACCGTAGCCGTCGCAAGGACGTTCTGGCGAAGACATAGGAAGAGAAAGAAGGGTCGAATGGAACTACTTGTTGAGTCTAGGTCCCTTTCTTGCCGTCTTGAGGCGGAGAACTGGAACAAGCACATAAGAGAGTTTCTCAAGATGTTCTATTTATAACACCACACAAGAATCCCCATTATTTCTCTGCAATCAGGCTATATGTGATATTATGCATATATCTGGGGTGTCTTAGAATCTCCATGCTTTGAGAACCTGCGCAACTCAGGGCTTGTAACGGAGCTTCCTCCAAGGTCCTCAAAGATATCGTTTCTACCGGAGGCTCCAGCTCAAGTGAGCCTTCTGTACAGTACAATTCTTTCTGCAGCTTGCCTCAGGTTGTGTATCGCACTTCATGTGGTCCTGTTAGTCTTCATGTCTTGGTCCGTGCTTGTACTCTTCTTGCTGAGGCTGGATGTTGCAAGCAGATATTGAATCGGCGCGGTCGATCAGAGCTGCCGCACTCATGTTGCAGCATGGCTAGTGTGCAGTCTTGTAGAACACATGACGGAGTTCCCTGCGACCCATTCCCTTGCAGCTATACCCAGTATGAGGCACCAGCGGCGTAAGCGGTTCAGCTAGTACATTTTTCGGTTCAGGCTCTGATTAGGCATTCGCCGTTCACATGCTCTCTGCTGTGTTAAGCTTCTGAGGTTAAGTTAAAGGGTCTGGTACTTCCCAAAAATGGGGGGATGCCGGCTTCGCCCCCAAATACTATAATCCTTTACTAGTAGGGGACTCCGCGAAAACATGCCCTCATGTTGGGAAACCACTCTGCAGAAATGAGTGGTTTTCAGGGATGTGTTTTGAAGCATCTCGAAGCATAAGCCGTTTGCCCCGGAATCTGAAGTTTCAGGGTAAAACAGAAGTATGTAAATGACTTTCACACAGTTTAGGGTTTATCTTCCTTTGAGTCACGGGTTTCATGGTGTCCTAACAACCTAAGTACGCAGGGCACCCGAACGCAACCCTGGGCGAATGTTTGCTGCAGAAAGCTCCAGGAGGAGCCTGAGGAGCAGTCTGCCCAAATGGGCTCCACCGAGGACGCTTTTGGGCACTGAGATAGGGCCCGTATTATGGGAGATTGCAATATCCAAGCTCCTCTTGAGCAGGGCTTCATGTGCAGTTGGTGACTAACTTTTCCGGTCATCAAGAATCAGTTGTCTAGGGAATCAGGTATGATGATTCCCCAAGCCGAAATGCAGGGTGGGTTGGCTCAAAGGTCAGTCGTGTCCAGTGTAAACCTTTACAGAGCATGGCTTCATCTTGTTCTGACCCAGAGGGTCTAGAGTACCTACAGAGTACAGTTTCTGTAGTAGGAGCTCCCCTTATAGTTTGGGTAGGTATTCCTTCTGCGGGTATTTCGGGCCCTTTGGGTGATGCATGCGAGTTCACGGTTGTTGGGTGTAGGCACTGTCAAGCTGTTGAAGCTGTCTTTGTGGATCACGACGCACTGTCTGAATCGCCATTGATGGTGAGGACCCACCCAGAGAGAACAATACCGCTTACTCAGGGATTGTATCTAAAATTTCCAGGATCCCAAATATGATCTAAGGACTATGCTCAAAGAAGGGCTGTTCACCCCCCTGGGCAAGGATACTCTTGCTAGGGAACCCTCCTATGCCCCAAAAACACAAGCAAATCCTTGCCACTTGTTGAATTGCACTTGTTGAACTTGTTGAGAGGGAATGACAGACTGGAGGTCACCCCCATCCACACAAACCCTACACCGTAGACCACGATCCCTTTTCGAATATTTCGGACAGGGTTGTTGTATACGCAGGGTTTTGCTATCCCTGATCCCAAAACAAACATGCTAAACCTATTCCTTTTGCTTATATGCAGTTCTTTGTCCCTAAACCCTCAACCCTTATCCCTATACAATAGTGGTATATTGGGAGTATAAGTGGACCCTAATTTGGGTTTAGGGTTTGGGGTTTAGGGTTCAATATAATCACCATTCTCCCTTATAGTTATTATTGCTGGGTTGGGGTGTCTACCTAACCGTTAATACAGACCCTACATTCTAAATCTATTCCTTTTGTTTATAGTGGAGGAATTTGAATTGCCAGTTGTTGAATAAAAGCAGAAAAAGGTTTTGGGTTTAGGGGTTTCTGGTCTCAGGTTTAGGGATTTGGGGTCTAGGGATTCGGGAGAGCACAAGTCCTGCATGACCCTATCTGAAGTACCTCCGGCGGGGTTCAAGGGATTGTGGTCTAGGGTTTAGGGTTGAGTATTGAATTCTACATGTGTCTAGATGACTGACCCCAATCCGGGCGTTTCCCAGATTTGGGGGGGTTGCAGAATATCTTGGACAGGGGTCCCAAATTTCAGGAAGCCCCCGCGTAGGCTAAAACATGCCCCTCCCTTAAATTCTAACCCCTAAACCGCGTGTTTTGAACAATATCGAAGTCCATTCCTTCTTCCCCAGGCCCTGAACCCTTGAGCTCTAAATCCTCAAAACCTAAAGTCCTCAACCCTTGAACCCGAAACCCTCAAACCCTCAAAACCCCAACCCTAGAACCCTTCAGCCCTAAACTCTCCAAACCGTAGCCCCATCAACGCTTAAAGCTTAAATCCCTAAACCCTAACGGCCCTAATGCCTTTTCAACCCAGGAGCCTGTTGGCTGGCTACCAGAGGGCCACGAGCCGCTAAGCTTCCGACAGACGGGGGATGCTCAAGATTCAAAATTAGGGTTTAGGGTTTTAGGCTTTAGGGATTAGAAATGTAGGGATTTAGGGTTTAGGATTCAATTATGGTGCGAGCGGCTTGTTTTTTTCATGATTGCCTACTCGCTCGAAGGGTTATAGGGTGACTTCAAAGGGCTATCCGGGGGTTATATAGGGATACACAGGGTTGGTGTTTTTGGCATCCATCATAATGTTTGGGCATGTTTTTCTATGGCAAGGTCAATCAGATGCTATATCTTAGCTCTCGCTGATTTGGACTTCGTGGCAGTTGCTTTCTAAGGTGTTGGGTGTTCTGGGCTAGTTGTAGGTTCAGGGTAATTGTACCCCACTAATAACCTGTAGTTAGGACCAAGTTAAAACAATTGTGGGCACTTCGGGGGCTTAGCTGTATAAGTACACTTCTGAGTAGAATTCACACTAAATCCTAAATCCTTAAACTCTAAACCCTACATCCCTGAACCCTAAATGCCTAAACCCTACACCGTAGGTCTTCCCCTGAACCTCCAAGCAGGGCCTGTTTGCTCTCCAGTCTTGAGCTTACGGAAGCTGGGTTTCGACCCTTTGAGCTCAAATTCTTTAAAGGTGGTTATATGGGGATTAGGGGGATATTAATATAGGGGCTGAGCCCAAGATGCAGGGATTGACAAGGGAGATATGAAACGACAAAAAGGGAGATCTAGGGCTTCATTCCTGCTCCGGTAGTAGAATCCAGAAATGTTTTAAGTTATCCTTTTCAAGTTAGGGGTATTGGGCTCGCTGGGTATGTTCACGGACATGGGTTTTAGGAGTCGGTTCCAGTGGTCCCTTCAAAGATGATCTAAGTGTGCGTTTTGAACCAGGCTTAAATCCTGAATTCACGGACCTGACTTGGAGAGCCAGCGGAAAATCGTAAGCAGGTTACTGTAATAGCAGGTATCACCTTATGGCTTGGACAAAGTCCTCCTGACGTGGCAAGTAGAACCCTAATACATGGACAGCCGAATTCCCTGATTCCCCGCATCCCAAAACCCGAAACCCTCAACCATCACTGGCGACCGCTGGATGCAAGGTGCAACACCTGCAAGAAGCAAGTCAGGGGCCAAGGATCCACCAGAAAGCTACACTCCCCCAAACTAATATAGAAATCCAAGGTTCAGGGTGAAAGGTTTAGGGCTTCGTGTTGAGGGGTTAGAATCTAGGGTTTCAGGATAATTCCCTAATAGTGGAGAATTCAATGGAAGAGAAGATGGAAATGACATGGAAACTGGGATTCTGTAGCTGTTTATAAGATACATTGGCCAGTGTCAAGATTAGGCTTACTAAGGGACCATTGATGGTGGACATAGGTAGTTTAGTATAGTCATAGTCCTTGATATAATCTCGAATGGGAACCTATGTCGTTCTATGGGAAATATAGGTTGTAGCTCGTATATCCCCCTTTTACAGGGACTGTAGTGTTAATTCGAACAAAAGCTTAAGCCATCCTTGATAATGGAGGCCCCTGCAAGGTTCCTGTAATCTCCCTATACCCTAAACCCTCAACCTCAGAGTCTGTATGGGTGCCACATTTCGGAAAACCTGGGGCTTGGCATTGCGGATTGAAGATTGAAGGTTTGAGGTGCCGGCATGCAGGCAATGGTTTTGGCTTAAGTTCAGCGTGCAGCAAGCTAGGGCCTAGGCCCTAAAGGTCCTAAGCCCTAAACCTGAAAGAGTCGTTGAGGCTCGGAAAACCTTAAGCAGTAAACCCTACAGCCCTAAACAATATACCTCAATCCGTCAAGTAACGTGGAGTGAGCGAGCTTCCAGGGGTTTGGGCTTGAAAATTGTGGTTGGATGCTGTTGTGGTTTCCACAAAGCATCTGACGCTTTCTGGGGTGCTGTGCTCTGCAGGGTACATGTACAATGGGAGACCTTAGTTTTTGATATTAAGATCGTGTCCTTTTAGGGGGATTGGGTAACCAACATGCTCTTATCACACATGAAGGTTTCCGCCTTTGGCGGGGTCTTCTGCGGCCGTCGGAAAGCTGGCTTCATCCCCATTGCAGGCAAATGTTTCGGGTTTCTGGTTCTAGGCCGGGAAACCTTAAACCCTAAATTGTGACGACCTCGCCCGAACCCACCCCAAAGGGTATTTCATGCGGAAAATAATCCCAAATGGGCTAATTTCGGGCTTAATTAGGGTGTAGTAGAGAATTTTTTGGTTTCATGTTTAGCATACTCGGGATCCCTCGAACACCTGTGTGGCTTCAGTTTCTCATGCTGTGGATTGTCCCCTGTCTTTGAGATTACGACCAGTACGTCTTTGTGAACGCGTTGGGGGGTCGAGTCTCAATCGTTCACCCTAAACTCCTTAAAAGTTGCGGCGGGTTGCTTGGGAACGGGGTGACAACAGCAATGGGCAGTTTACGGTCCTTCACCCAGTTCAGGATTTAGCTTTCTCAGCCAAATTCCCAGGCGGCCCGCAACGAAGGGATAGCTGTTTCGCAGTCGCCCGTCCAGTCAAAGACAAACGGCCCCCTACGCGGTTTAAGGCCTATAAGGCACAGGGTCAGGGGTTCCAGAGCGACACCCTACAGCAAGCAACTCCAATCTGGGTTTTAAGCCGAATCCTTACGCCGTCATGAGGGCAAAGTCTCCGAATGTGTGGAGGTGCAAGGCCGTGGAACAGACAGTCCCAACAGCATTGCCAATTACCTGAAGGGTCTGATCTGCGTTCTTCCCTCAAAACTATCTACAAGATCTACAAGAGTGGTACACTAGTGACACTGCTGTTCGTATTATTCTTCGTATTGTTAATAGCAGGGTAAACCCCAAACCCTAAGCCCTTAGGCCTGAGCTAAACCCCAAACATTTATGGTCCCTGAGTCCTTCCGAAAAGCCTGAACCCCAAGAAGCTTTTCTGGCAGCTACATTTCAAATCTGCGGGGCCAACCCGGGTTGCACGAGAGGCTGCGGAGCCGCAGTTTGGGCCCCAGTGAGAGCTGAGCTTATCTCTTTTAGGTGGTTTAGGGGTTTAGGGTTTGGGTTACGGGGGTTAGAATATGGTTAGGATTTAAGTAGGTGGCATGGGGATTTCCAAGGAAGCAAGGGTCGCGCTTACATACACCAAACCTTATGATTTTCGGAAGCCCCCCGAATCATCATGTGTTCTTCTACGCTTATACGTATAGCTACTCTGTTTGGGTTTGAGGGTGTGGCTGGGCCAAGATTGAATTGAAAGTGCAAGCTGTAACCCCTAGAAATGAATCTGGGCGGAAGATTCCCAACGGTGCAGGGATCCTAGTCCGCCTTAAGTGGATAGAATATGGGGTATATAGGGATCTTATTACAATATACCCAAAGCCATATTCTGTCTACTTAAGGGGGACTATAGGGTTTAGTCCTTGTGTGCAAGTGCTCCATGCGATGTCTCTCGAGCCCTTAGCCCTTTTGGATCCGAGCGAGCTCGGATAGACCCTAAACCCTAAAAGGCGCAAACTTGCAGAGCTTTGTAAGTTACGGTGTGTACAGCCTTGGAGGTGTGAACCCAGCCCCTTTACTAACAAAATTGTAGCTTTAGAGTTTTAGGGCGTACGATTGGCAAATGAGAGTTTCCCAAAGTTAGGGTATTTGTTTGGGGTTCTCGTAAGACAGTATATATTGTTTGGGGATCTGTATTATGGTCCCGATTAATGGAAACTACCAAATATACCCCAAGTTATACTAGAATCCCTTTCATGATTTGGAGCATACTCCATCTTAAGGGGTACTTACTGGAGTTTCTTGTAGGTTCACCGAGGTATCTAGGGAAACCCAAGTTATAACCAGCCACTCAATCTTTCATGGCTACAATTACAGACAAGATCATTTTTTGCGCTGTCTATTCTTGATTGCCAATGGGTTCTTTAGAACAAGACTTAACCTGGCACAGCCTGAGCCTACCCTTTCTTTGCCCTAAGCTTAACTTCCTAAGCCCTAAACCCTAAACCGACAACCCTTAAACCGATAACTGCCAAGATTATGGTCCCAGTTGCTTGGTCTAGGTATGGTGAACGGTACGGCAAATAGAGCCCACCTGATGTTGCTCATTCTTCAGGCTTCTACATGACGCATGCTGCCTTGTCCGGAAGAACTGCTCATTACTGTAAGGGTCCAGGCACCCAACACTATGTAACATGAGCCCAACCCTAAGCCCTAAAGCCTGAACCCTTAAACCTTAGACCCCAAACCCTAACCCCGACCATATCCATGTCGGAATTCCTTTGGGCCGAACTTGCATGTCATTTCACTGTTCAGACCCCTCCTTAGAGGTCCAGAGTGATTGGGTTTGGGGTTTAGGTCATGTATAACGCGCTAAGTACTTGGCTCGGCTGGAATTCCAGTGTGCGCGTCTGGGCCCTATGGTGTTTGCGGAGTTTATGCAGGGCAGGTTGGGTTTGGGGTAAAAGCTGAGTAATACGTAATAATGGAGAATCAAACGGCAAACAAACTTGCAACCGGTCATTATAGTAGGTTTTATAACAATCTTGGTCAGCATTCTTCTCCTGTAATCCTTACAGAGTTATAGCACAGGATACCCCAAACCCTTATCCTATTGATTTCGGGTCATACCTCTCTTCTACGCCCCTCGAATCTAAAGGAGTTTCAGGTGGGTAGTTTCCCACATGAGCATTTCAGTGCCCTTGCATAGTCCTAGTGATAAGCCTTACATAAGCATCATGTAAGCATACCCGCCTGGTAACTAACCACCTAAAAACTCCCTTAATCAGAACGGCCGCCTCAGCATGGTCAAGGCGCGACCAAGGCATGTGTGAAGAATGCCTGGACCATCCCTTATGCATACCCATTTTAAACGCCCCCATAGAATTCAGCGCGCTGAATCTTTTAGATCCCTGAGCCATAATAACCCCCTGTGAAGCCCTAATCCCTAAGCGCTAATAACTAAACTAACCCTAATCCCTAAACCCTCATCCCTACACCCTACACACTGAACTCAGGTCTGTTGGAGGTGCATGAACCGCTCTTCCAAGGATGCGTCCTTCGGCAAGGTGCGGGGCTGCCCCTTGCATCAGCTGCTCTTGCCTTGAGGGCTTGAATGTTTAGGGTTGGGGTTTAGGGTTTGGGGTTTAGGGCTCTTAGGGTTAAGGGTTTCGGGTCAAGGGCTAAGTTGGGTGAAGGGTTTGGGGGTTAGACTGTAGAAGCCTGAATGACTACCAACAGTTTTCCAGCAAAGTTCCATGATACCAGATTGGAAAGATTCTAGTACACACCGCAACCTTCTTCCCTTACACTGCTGTCAACGAGGCTTAGGCGTGAGGATGTAAGGCTTGCGAGGCTGATGTGCCTGAGATTTGAGGGTAAGTCGAAAGCCAAGTATATTTGCACCTATATCCAGGGGGCTTATAACTAGAGTACTGACTGGCTAAGAATTTGCCTGAAAATCTTCTACGTAGCAGACTCATCTGCAGATGCCTCGCGCACCCAGGGTTGAATGCTGCTGCTTACGTGCCCTCATGAGCCTGCAGGGTAGAGAGATTAGATATATCGATAGTTCACCTCAGGTCATCAGCTTGCAGGTGTTGATTGCGAGTTCCTCCCGGTTTCCACTCGCAGAAATTTCACGAATAGATCCACACCCATAGACATTGAAACCAAACTCCAGAAATCCGGCCCCCGCTCTCGTACTAAAAGCCTTGCATGACCTTCCGATACAGAATTACCATGATTCCCAAGGGGTATGGTACTTACGGTCGTGCAAGAATTTGAATATCCACTGTGGGATGATTGTCGAACTCAGCGCCCCAGACAGCAACCAGTGACCCTACTGAGCCTGAGTGGACATGTTATGCCGGTGGTGTCATGTGCCCCCGGCACACATGTAAGTGTCATGCCTGGAGGTCAAGGGTTATTGTAGCATGAGTATACCTGTTGTTATATCCCAATTATAGTCATATTCGTGTACTTGAGGAGTTTTCCACTGGGTTATAAGTTACAATAACCCTGAACCTCAAAGTGCCCCAAAGCATCACCCAAACACCAGCCAAACACCAGCGCGCGAGCACCCAAGCACCTTCGTGAGCTGGCGGCACCCAACCCCGCTTGCTGGGCTGCTGTTAAGAAAATCATGTTAAGTTACCAGAATATGGGTATGTAGTAAGTAGTAGGGTTTCTGATTATAGCAACTTAACTTAAATTCCTCAGCAGCAACCCCCCTTTTCAAGCAAACAATATACCAGGCGGGCACCAGCATATCAGACTCATGTGAGGCTCGTATTAGGGTAGCGACGCTGTATGAGGTCTAGACAGGCCTACAGACCCGAAGGTTTCTTTGACCCTTGGGCAAATACCTTTTGTGAAGGTTTGCATTGTTAGAACTCATTTGGCCTTTGGTTCCAGATGTTGTGCAAGGTGGTCCCAGATGAGCCCCATAATCGTACTGAGGCTAGCCGGGTGCTTGCCTCTGTTCTTTAGCATCACTGCCGCTTGCGGGCTCTCCCTTCGTGCGTTTGCAACACTAATCTGTTCTTGGAGGTTGTACTTGGATTATATTTACTCTGACCCTAAACCTGTAGAAGCCTGCATAGGTCCGTTTGAGGTGTGTTGCGCAACCCAGGCAGATTGTTTGCGTTCCTCCTGTCTTGATGAAGCCTTTCGCACGGTGCGGGAATTCAATTCGTACTCAGGACCCGACCTGGTGCTGGGGATGCCTGGACAATCCCCAGCATGATCCCTTATCAACCTTCAATAGTGAGACTATGATGTTCTCCAGAACCCTATTCCACTTCATCCCCTCCCCTCATTTTCAAAGCCACCCGACCCACTAGAATTTGACATTCCCATTGTGGTGCGCGATGCTACCTTTTAATCTGAGCAGGGTAGGGCGCTTTTACTGCGGAGAGGGGATGATTTGGCTCCGCAGTACTTTTACGAGTTCGGTCTCCAGTTCTTACGTGCAGCAGACGTAGCAAAAGTAATAGCGGCTTCACTAGCAGCTTCTGGTTAATCAAGTGGAAAAGAAAGGAATATGACATCGAAATCCCGCAGGAACGACCCTCTATGACTAACATATGACTCTGACAGGGTCCAGGTTGTAGCGAGTCTGGTGGTCAAGACAGACCTGACAAAGAAATCAGAAATCCCACATCGGCTAGGTCCAAAAGCATTCGCGGGGCCCGAGGCGTAGCGCACCCAAATACTAAGCTCTAATCCCTGAACTACAAGCGCTGCGCCTCAGGGTGATCAGGGTTCTTGGGCATACTCTCATATAGTGAGATAGGGATGATAAGGGAAGAATGATCTAGGCTTCTACATACTCCCGAAATCTTAATCAATCTCCAAGCCTTGCTTGGCGCTTTCGCCGAAGTTCGACTTGTGCAAGGCGGGGCTTGCCGTTTAGGGTTTAGGCTTCCAGTTTAGGATGGCGTTCCGGACTTTAGGTGGGGAACAAACCGAAGTTAGACCCCTAATCGGAATGTATAGGGGTATCTTGGGAAATGCAGGGGTATATGAGTTACATAAGGGTATACGTATATGTATAGAGGGTTTAGGGTATTGGCAGGGAACAAGCCCAAGTTGTAACCAGGTGAAACGGTATAACCTCTCATACATATTGCTACAGAGAGCACGAGCGTGTCCCAATGTACCTCGGCTACCGAATAGGGGCATGTTGGGTATAGCTTACATGGTTTAGTGTCAGGTTTAAGGGTTGAGGGGTTTGGAATTGATGATGCTGAGTCCTCGTAGTGTCCGGATTTTCGTGTTGGAGTTTCAGTTAGTAGGGCATAAGGGAATCTGCTATACAGGGGTTATATAGGGATTATATTCCCTTATTCCAGGTCTCTTGTGTTCAGACTAGATGTTGCTGGGAATCTCTAAGTTCTGAAGTGTGCCATGTGTACTTGACGGCCTTGATTGACCAGGAGCCTAAGCAGTAGCAGAGGCCCCAAAACCCTTAACCCTAAGTCCGAAACCCTACAACCTATATACACCCTAAACCCTGAGCCGCGAGCAGCCGTCCTCTTGCACGAAGTTGTCAGAGTAACTTGTACTCCCTACACTCAACCCTAAATCCCGAAACCAGAAACATTGCAGAGTGCTCCATGAAATTCAAAAGATTCAGCAGCATACCATCAGGAATGAAGCAACTACTGAGACAGCCTGCACCCTTCCCGCAGCCCTTGCCATCTGGAGGACGTTCGAGGCTCTTTGTTACCAATCTTTTGGCGAGCTGCCGGCTGCAAGACACCTCGGAAGACTCCAGTAGCAGTAGATTAGAATTACCAGAAAAGCCACGAGATGGAATGGTTCTGCTCAGGTATAGGAATGCCTGATTAGGTTCTTTCAGTGGATTCTCAAAATCAGGGTCTAGGCGTGATAGGTTTAGGATGTTCAGGGGTTTAGAGGTTTTAGGGTTGTGAGGGGTTTAGGGCTTTCGGGTTTAACTGTTGAGGGGTTTGGGGTTTAGAGGTGAAGGAGTTGAGGGTTGAAGGTTCAGGGTTTAGCGGGTTTAGGGGGACTTCGCGCCTCAAACGTGGGTTTCAGGCCACTGCAGTTTTATCGTGATCCGCTTTGGATTTTGTAGTCTACCGACTGAATACGAGTTGGATTCATCAAAGAAGTAAATATGAGTACATTTGCAAGCCCTTAGTATACGATTATTATAGCCTGTTGCTGCGGGCAGTTACTGCACCCTTCTCGGGAAGCAAGACCATGATCTTGGCAAGTAGCCCTCTGCACCCTGCATGTTAGAAAGCTTTCAAGTCCGACATGTTGTCTGTATGTATATATGAGCCGTAGTCTAGACTCCTTAGAAGGAGATATATAAAGGATTGTTATAGGCATTGTCATGGGGGATACTAGGAGTTTAGACTATAGTTCATATGTATACACGCGCACTCTCCTTTCATGATGCTGACGCTGTATCAGAAGCATGATCCGTAGCTTCGAATTCTATACCAGCAGAGCCAGTTTCGCTCTGATTTAGGAAAATCTGCCACAGACGAAGCCCACAAGGCTTGAAACGAGTTTGACTCCTAAGCCTAAGCCCTGATCTGACTCCTAGAGGTAAATCCTAAACGCTAAACCTCTATTCCCTAAGCAGACACCCACCATAGCCGAAAGTGCAAGCTAATTGGCAGTCAACTCACATCTCATGCCCTGGCTGAGAAACCTCAAGCCGTATTCTCCAAATCCTATCGATGCTAAGTATCTGTCGACCGGCAGCCAAGGTGATCGCGATGACATCTGGGAGCAACATCTCTCTCGACAGTTCGAACAAACTCTTGTTTCTGGAGTATACCTTGTATCTTACTCGGGTCGTTGAGGGCACTGAAGAGGGAACATGTCCTAAGCCAACCCAACCGTGTTTTTGCAGGCTATGCGCATGACGTCTCATCGCCAAGCTAACTCAACATCCAAGTCCCCCATCTATTTGGCCCGTTCTTTGTACTCAGCGTGACCTTCAAGACAGATTACTGGTTAGTCGTTGACCAGATGTCAGCTACGGGACATCCCTGGTTGACTCCGTGCTTTGTCTAGGGCTGAAGAAAAAGCCTCCACCTTTCCCAACAGCGTAGCAATAAATCGGAGGCATCAGGAATGCGAGTCTCGCAGGGGGCGGGAATACATGGGCAGTCGTTAAAATTATAGTCCCTCTGGTACCCTGAATAAATATAGGTGCCATGGTATGCAAGGGACGAAGGACGGCAATTTTCACAACCTTCGATATGGTAGTTGTTCAAAGCACGTGTCCTCAAATGGCCAGGCACGTTCCCATTTTGCCAGGCAGGTTCCCATTTTGAGGAAGTGTATTCCCAATGGCCCCCGTTACAGGGAGCTTGAAAACAGCTCCCAAATGTTTCTTCGCGCCCATCCCCTGCCACAGGTATAGCCATTGCACAACCTAGGATCTTCAAGTAATTAAGGGGCGCAGCGAAGGGGCGCAGCGAGTGGATTCGGTTGCTACTCAAACTCCTACATGATCTCAAGCCCTTCGTACAAGAGGGAATGGTGGTAGTGAAGTCTAGCATCAATTGGTCTTTCCGGTGCC